GCGGTGTCCTCTACGAACCTGGGAGTGAAATATTCCCCCAGAGCCAAGTTCAGTCAAATTTCGCAATATCAAAGAAGTTGGCTCACGAGGCAATAATTCAAACTACTCCTCCACGTCGTTTTCCCGCTCCCAACAAGTTCGACGCCTACCTAAGTCTCATCAAGTCTACAAGTACGATTCAGTACATCCTCATTCCAATGATCACACTACTTCTCGACTTTCTCTGGTCTCAGCTGGTCACCAAATACACGCCCACGCCGATATTTACACCCGACGGAGGAAGCAAAGCGTGGCGCACAAATCTGGGAGACAGTTCTTTGGGATGGGCGTGAGAGTATTCAGGACAAGTTCACAAAATGATGCAGAGGATGCGACGGATGGATTCAGCCTCGAAGGGACTGAAATTCCGAATTTTGGCAGGGAGTTTTACGAATTGGGCTTTGTGCGCGCCAAGGCTTCGCTTGCGAGAGTGCAGCTCACACTATAAAAACAAGCAAACGATGGAAGGTGTTGTGGTCCGCCTCCTGGTGGTGTTCTCTGGTATAGTCTGAGTAGCCTGGGCACCTACTCCACTTGGGAAGGAGACGTCTCAGATAAAATTTCGCGCGGAGAAAAGTTGATGGATGATAGAGGCATGTCTGGATAACTCAAGGTTTTCGAGACGTCCCCTGGGTGGGTATTCACGGATGAAGGTTGACTTGGGGTGAAGAAAACGCCATCATAACTTCGCAGTGGCACTTGCAAATGAAATCTGAGGCATGAGTGCTCTTCCTTTACATTGAATCATCTATTCTGTACTTTTCTTTGATATTGTGTCGAGCTAGATAGCTGCATACGCAATTAAAATCTGATGCAAAAAAAAAAGACTGGACCACCTCAGACTTCACCCATGTTTTGAATCATGTCAAGCCCAACTGTCCAGAGAACCCCCTTTAGCCACGTCGAAGCGCAAATTCCTCCTCGACCTCGGCCACCACGCGCCCGAGCCCTTGATACCTTCGCCATCTGGAACTTCTTCCTTCGATTCATTCCCAGCATTGGCTCATCTCAGCATCTCCTCATCTCATCCAGGGATCGTTTTCTTCACTGGAGGCCTCCTCAGTTTGTATTCCCTTGTGGTTCTTTCACACAGCGGCTCGTCTAAGTAGCGCGGCTCTCGTAAAGAGACGTACGTAATTGGGTGTCATGGGTCAGGGGACAGGTGCTGGAGCAACTATGTGGTTGATAGTGGTAGATAATAATTCGAAGGAGAGAAATACTACTGGATCTATCTGTACTTGTATATATGCATAAGGGCCTCCTGTAATGCGACATCAATCCACTGTTGGTTGGAGGGGTTATGACCGATCTCGTATACTGCCAGCCGATGGCTTCTCACCAACTCGTGATACAGTGTTGAGCTGTACTGATGGATTAAATCGTATGTATATTCAGGTACTTAGATGATGTATCGATCGATTGTGCGCCCTCTACATTGTATCAAGCCGAAGTTAGCCAACATAGGCAACAGGATCCAGTTGGATTGTTAGCCGTTACGTTGGGGGGGTTCTTGATGGATGAGGCTCTGATTACTAGGCGCAGTGTACCATCGCTGTGTGAGGATTCGTTGGACCGGCAAGTCCATCACATTGCTTATATAGATTCTGAGCTGATTTTCTATGTTTCGAGCTCCTGTCGGATATCCTCATAGGTAAGGGCCTCGCGGTTGCCCCGAGCATTGTATCTATATCAGGATACCGGGCCAAGTAGGCAGTTAAATCTTTTCTCTTGTCATTCTACCGGTACCTCACCTGTAATATGTTTGAGATAATTTGCTGCTTCGAGTAGGACCTGGGTTTGTGAGGGGGTAGGGGCTACTAAAGCTATCCCTGTGAGCACCATTCGGATGTCTTTGATAAGTCTGGTCAACATAGTAGTTTCACGGAATAATAACAGGGGTTAGAATGATGGTTTACTATTAGCATGTAAATATTGCAGGCCTGGGTAGGGAAAGGTAACGTAACAGTGAGCTACGAGCATGTACACAATAAAGCATAGTCTACACTCGAGTTACCGTCTTCACGCAACGTCTTCTCAATATTATTCTCATTCTAGATATTCCATCTGTTCCTTGTGAAGACCACTTCGAGCCCGTACTCGTATTAGATCACGACGTGCCCTCTATCTCTTCTTGTGGAACTCCTTGACCCCCTATTTACTCACACTTGTATCCTGTAGACAAATAACATACTCACTCCTCGAGAAGTAGTCGGCGTAACTCGGTTCTTACAAAAATTGGATCCTCACTGCGGAAAGGGTGTTCTGTAGGTAGTCGGACAATGAGTCTAGCATCAGGTTTTGATGTGAAAGGCTGTTTGGCCGGGGGGTTTTATGGGAGTTGGTGCGTTCAAACCTCTCTGTGCAGCCGCTGTGTGTGTAGTGGCCGATGAAGGAGCCGCTCTTTCATCTTGGGATCTTATATTTAGTATTTATATATTGATTGCAGTGTAGGAGGGGGCAGTTTTTATTTACTATGTTCATCAAAAATAGGCAGGTTGGAAATGACACGTGCAGCACTCCTGGTGGTAATAGCTCGCAGTTATGCAGCAAAATATGGGGGAATGTTCTTTAGATATTTGGCTCCTGCATCCTGCCAGGCTGTCAGCACTGCTGCGGATTCGTTGATAGAATTTGGGGGAAGTTGAGAGGTAACACGCCAATTATTTGTTGCGGGTGGACTTGTTTGCTTATTATCTGGCAGGGGAGCTCTAGTTGCGGGACTTGCATGTGTAGAATTTTATAGACCTTGCAGAACCATTCTGGAGATTGAGGATGCCTTGCTTTGTGTCTACTGCACACTAGGTGGCAGGTCAACTGAAGGAAATGATCTTGTATCATCTAGCATTATTTCGTCTTTGGGGGCTGATGATAGTTCTGAGGTGGACACGATCTTCATGTTCTCTACTTAGAGGACCTCATAAAAGTGGCCCGTCTAGGACTGGTGCGTGGAAGTAAGAGCTTCTAGTTCAGCTGCTTCTTTTTTAAATCATTTAATGTGTATTCAGCTGTACAGCTATGACACATGACCGGTGCTATGTATACATGTTGGATGACTCTTTTGACGTTAGAGACACTCATACTCTGGATTTCATTCGCAAATACCACTATGAGGTATCTTTGCTGACACAAACAGTCGACCCTCCTCCATTAGTACCCACCAAAGGGAATTTCGAAACCTTTAGTTATCCAAGCATGCCTTCGTCATCCATGCATACCAGCGCCGCGAGAAAAGTGGTTGTGTTTTGCCGGATTCGAACCAGCGATCTACTGTCTCAAGTGGGACATGTGTCCAAGCTATCCAGACTCTACTTGGCAGACCGTCCAAGACGATGTACCACCGCACCATCCGACCATGGCGATGTTTATAGTGTCGCCTGCTCTCTCACAACCGAAGCCTTGGCACGCACAAAGCTCAATTTGTAAAAACTCCTTGCCATGATTCGAGATTTCACGCCCGTCGAGACTGTATCCATCCGTCGCATCCTCTGCATCATTTTGTGAACTTGTCCTGAATCCTCTCACGCCCATCCCAAAGAACTGTCTCCCAGATTTGTGCGCCAAGCTTTGCTTCCTCCGTCGGGTGTAAATATCGGCGTGGGCGTGTGTTTGGTGACCAGCTGAGACCAGAGAAATTCGACAAGTGGTGTGATCATTGGAATGATGATGTACTGGATCGTACTTGTAGACTTGAGGAGGCATAGGTGGAAATCGATTTTGTTGGGAGTGAAAGATTGACACGGTGGAGTATTTTGAATCACTGCCTTGACGGGCAACTTGTTCGGTATTGCTAAATTTGACTGAAATTGGCTCTGTGAGAATATTCCACTCCCAGGTTTGTAGAGGACACCGCGTACAGGTGTTCAGTCTTGCCCTCCTGTATATAGACTACCACGCGTAGTGTGAGAGCGCCGAGAATTACAACTTGGAGTTATTCAACCAGCATTTCTAGGGCAGATTGATGAGTAGAATTCTGTCTGATCATTCTATTTCAAAGTACTTATTGCCCCCTCCTAAGTGCCTCAAAAGAATTTTGTCGGACTGCTAAAAGAATCTAGGACTGGGGTAAGATACCGGTGGGGCATAGTACATCCCAGGAATTATTCACGCGCTTCGGATAGGCAGCAGCTGGAAGATGCGAGTGCATCAGGATGAATAGAACGAGTGTGGTACACAGTGAAGTCGCCATGTCCAAAACGGGTAGGGTGAATGGTTTTCCATGTCGGAGGAACTGACTAAGATGAATGAGATGCGGCAGCAGAGAAATCACTGGATTAAAGATAGATAAGACTCCGATCGGCGAGAGGACGAGATTATTTCACCGAAAGTCGGAGATAGTGGGATAAACAAAGAAGGGATGAGGGATGGAAATTGGAGTCTTGGTTGAAAAGGGTATACTATCTATGTATAGGCGCGTCTGTAAGTCCGTCAAGGCTTTTGTACAGTGCACAAGTCACCCACTTTAGGCCTCATTATACTCGGGCCTAGGAAAATGAGGGTAGAGACGTCGAGGGGCTCATATTATTGACTAGTCAAACAAAATCCTTGAGAATGTTCTCCTTACATCTGTTGTTCTCTTGAAGCCGGGTTGCCTGCGATAATTTCCTCACTTGTCTACTTGTGCTGCAAAACTGCCATTACTCTTCGTCCACCGTCCCTGAATCGCACCTTCCCCGATTTCTAGTTCCATCAAATTTAATGGGATGCTCAAATCGCTTTTGGAACATAGGTGATAGTCTATGTGGAATTGGTACAATGTGTCTGATCAGCGTACGTATGAAATCTCTGACGCGGGGGCGTAGATTACGGTACAAAGCCTGGGTCAGGCTAAAAATAGATCAATCGATTTGTTGATAAGTCTGATATTGTGCGCCAGGATGGCTTCAATAAATACGTGCCCATCCGTTACCGTGATAGGAAATCTCCGTAGCCGACCACGCTACAGTAGTGGTGAGAGGCGAGCCCTATTTCTTTTTCTTGGCCAGCCGCTTTTCCGCCCGCGTGTCCTTTTTTAGGCGCGCGTCAACGATCTTATAACGTCCCTTAACGCCTCGAGGCCGCCCCGCAATTCCTTTATTCCCACCACACGCGACGACGACCTTAACCTGTTTCTTGGGCTTCTTCTTCGCCGCCTTACTCATGAGTTTGACGATATTTTGTGCCTTATCTTTCTCTGTCATGCCCTCTTCATCCTGCATCATAGCTGATTTCTTACGGAGCTTCTCGAGTCGCTGCGCAGCCTTGAACTTCTTGCGATCCTTCGCCTCACGCACCTTCTTTATAGGCCGTGCATTGAGGGCGCGTAACTTTTCCTTCACAGCAGCAGCCGCTGCCGCACTTATGGGTCTATGAGGTTTGTCATGTCGACCTTCGTCGTCAAGGAACCATTCGGGGAGCCCATCGCGATCTTTGAATGCGTATTTGTTCCAGCCCTCATCCAAGAGATCATGCGTCGACTTCTCACCAGATGCAATTTGTCTAGCGAGGGTCATGGCTTCAGCTGTAATGATATCAATGTCTAGCTGGTTGTTAGATAAATCAAAGAGTAGACTGAGAAGCGTTACCTGGTTTGCCATTTTTAACAGGCTCATCTTCCCATTGATTCTCATCTGTAGATGCAACTAGGTTTCCAGGGCCGTCTTCTTCTTCGCTTTCGGAAGGTATAGATTTAGCTCTAGTGCCTCTAGATATATGCTCTCTATCCGAATCTAGCTGCTCGTTCGCTTTGAGACTCTTCTTTTTATCGAGCATCTCCTCATCATCCTCGGATTCAGACAATTCTTCCATGCCCCCCTGGATATCTTTAAAAACATCATCGTCAAAGAACTTGGCAGCTCTGTTTGAAAGACCACCATTGCTCTTTTGGACTTCAAGATCAGTCAATAAAGACTTCTGTGCTGGGGATTCACCATCAGAATCATCATCGCTACTATCTACATTAAGCTGATCATCATCGATTATAGCTTCGTCTGCTGAGAACCCTTCCCATTGACCATCATCGTGCTCTTTTCTTGCCTTTTTTGCCCTTTGCTTTGAATCGGCGTTGGATTTGCGCTCCTGATACAATTCATAGAGACTATCGAGTTCTCGATCTAGCCGATCCTCCTCTTCATCGCTTTCATCGCTACTTTCTTTTAGGTTGGCATTATTTGCAATTCCACCAGAATTCCTTGCTTCCGTAAGGGTAGCCATTTTTCCCCTAGTAATTTTGTCAATCGATCCAGTCTTATCCACTTCTTTTAGCCGAAACATCGAGTCCTCTCCGCTGGGACCAGCCTGTTCCAACCCAATATCCATGGGTGTCGTCATGTGAAGCTGCATGCGAACAATTTCTCGTTGCTTTTTTTCATTGTCTCTTCGCCTGTCTTTCTTCCTTCGTGCACTCTCTTTCTCGCTCAGTGCTTGCAGCTCTTGCTGAATTTTAATTTCTTCGTCCATAGGTTCGACAGTAGTAGTCTCTTCTTCGGTTGTCGCCGGATTCTTCTTGGAGGGGAATCCAAACTTTTCACGAACTTTTAGTCGCCATCGCAAGAGACTCCGAAACTCCTTCCTACCAAGGACTCTTAGGTCAGCGCAGCAGTTTCGGATTTCTTCGGTTGTCTCTGGCAACCGATCCAGTGCTGCGAGGGCAACATCGCCATTCGGCGGTTGGTTAAAATTCAGGCGATTCAAGCTGCCAAGGATGGCGATTGGGTCTGAAGTGTTAATAAATTCACTGGCCGGAATTTCCTTGAATTGGGTGTAGTTTCCTTCTTCATATCCATCCCGCTTTCGCTTCTTTACCTCGGGATTGAAGACTTTCGCTTCGTTGTTCGGGGTAGGATCAGATAGTTCTGCAAAGACTGATCTAGGATCGAGAAATTTTGGATCGATCCTCTTTGGAGCTTTATACCCGCGGCACACAACAAAGATTTCGGCCGAAACATTCCTCGACGAAGGAGGCTTCGTGGATTCTACTTTGTTAAACAACTGATTGAATACCCAGAGTAAATTATTGTAATCCTTAGATCTAAAGACTTTAGTGACAAAAGTTCCTCCTTCAATCAAGAATTCTGTAGCCAACTTCATGGCCTGGAGAGCTAGCTCTGCTTGGTTAAATGAATCTTGTACCCAAGCTGTCCCAACGTTTGGGGCTCCGTCGTGCAGGACAGTATCGGCTTTCCAGGTCTTGAAGTAGGAACGAATTGTTGCGCGACACTTATCGGTCGTAATGTCGCTTTGAAATGTGATTACTTTTGGAATGGCTTTAATTGGCGACAAGTCAACTCCAACAATTAAACTCCCGACAGGCATAGTCTCCGCTGCGACCTGGCACCATGACTGAAGAGATGTAAGCAGTAGAAAATAATATCGAAAGGTTAACAGACTCCCGGGGCGGCACAGAGATCAAGCAAGACTTTGCTCTTTTCCAGAAACCCATACTTTTTGTTCAACTGTATCAATTTAAAAGCGGCGCGGGCTCTGTAGCCTTTTTCTTTGGCCAATTTGTACCACTTATCCAGTCGGCCTTTCCCATGTTTCTTTTGCATACCCATCCTGTCGATTCTGTTGTGGCTTGCCTGGTAGGCGGAGTGGAGGGGACGAAATTTTTGTAAGGCTCTTGTGCATGTGGCGCGGGCGGTGTGGCTGAAATCACTACCGAGCAACCATCGCGTCTCGGTAGCAACGCGCGAGATACTCAGATGAAATGTCCGACAAGCAGAGGTAACGTCAAATGTAGGACAAAAGCCGCCATAATAAATATACTACAACAAGCTTATGGCGCCTCCTGACGTGCTCGAGTTGCACGCATCTCCATTTGTGTCCGAGGGCCTGCCTCCGCTGCGAATGACAAATGCTCGTGCGGGCATATCTAATGGATCGAGCAAGGAGCGAAAGGATCCGTCGGTAACTCCTCAAAAATTTCGACGGTTCTTTACACCGCGAAAACTCGATAGTCCCGATACGAGCTCGGCTACCAAGGCCTTGTACCAAATTACACGGCCTGGCTTCAGCCAGAAAGATGTGAGGTCGAGTCCGGTCCGCCCTTCTAAAGGTCTATCTCTCCTGGAAAGTGGTCCACCCAGCAGTCCATCCGAACATCTCACAAGAGAAAGAAAAAGGAGAAGAATTGAATTCTCGTCTCCCGTCGCCCCCAGAATACTATTCTCCCCTATTCATAATCCTCCAAGTGCACGTGTTTGTCAGGTTGAGGAGCAAAGATTGCACTCTTCTCCTAGCAAAAGGTTTGCTCAGACGCTAGGCGAAGACGTTTCCAAAGATATATCAGAGGGCCTCCAACTCTTTACTAAAATAACACCTGTGGCCAGTCGGGGGTTCGCGGGACAGCTATTGGACAGAAGTATTGGGAGCACATCACTAGGTAGGCGACGACATCATGTTGCTATAATTAACGGTAAGACCCATCACTACTCTCTCAGGCTACGACTAATCTCATCAAGACTATCGAGATCACACAGCTTCCTTTTACAGCCAGCACGATGATACGCATGCCTGCGTAGGCCTCGAAGGAGAGGAACGTACGATACCCTTTTGTACAGCAGCATGTAACAGTAAGGTTTTACCCCTTCTATACATGATATTGCTACTCACATTATAAAGAAAGTAGTCTCGTCGCAATTGGTGATGAGGATGGCTGTGTCCGACTACTCGAAACCGAGCTCGAAGAAAATTCAAGGTTCAGCGACATATTTCTAGGCTTCCGTGTCCACAAAAACGCCATCATGGATATGAATTTCTCTAGCGATGACTTACGCCTAGTTACTGCCTCGGGAGACCAAAGCGCCAGGGTCGTAGATATGAACACACAATCTACAATTTCCATACTCGGAGCGCACACAGGATCACTGAAACAAGCCCGATTCCAACCTGGCTCTAATAGTAATAATGTGATAGCAACCTCGAGTAGAGATGGTAGTATACAGATATGGGACCTAAGGTGCACAGGGTACGAGAGGCCATTAGTTGAAATCAGTCATTCGGTTGATATTGAGCGATCGCCCTCAGCAACAGAAAAAATACAGTATGGTGCAGTAGTTAATAGTATATATGATGCCCACAAGACCTTTTCCAATCATATCCAGATTCCCGGTATGCCCGAATCGCCGTCACAAGGAGAGCCGGCCGGACGTATCGGAGACGTTTCGGTTACCGCCATTCATTTTCTGTCGGCAGAACTAAATCATTTACTTTTGTCGGCTTCGGAAGCCAATTCTTCTATTAAACTTTGGGATATCCGATTCCACCAAACAAACCGCCGCCGCCGAAATCAATTACCCCTCTCCTCGACTGCCCAACCGCGCAGTCACAATCAATGGCGTCATTTTGGAATCTCGTCACTCAGCATGAGCAGCGATGGTACTAGACTGTACACACTGTGCAAGGATAACACTATTTACACCTACTCTACCGCGCATTTGATGATAGGCCAGGCACCTCACCTCCAAGTCTCCGAACAAAACCGGTGGGGAATACCCCCAAAAATTGGTGAAGGTCTCGAGCCCTTGTATGGATTCCGGCATCCCAAATTCCATGCTTCCTCGTTTTTCGTCAAGTCAGCCGTGCGTGCGCCGACGGGGGGTAGGTGTGAGATGCTAGCAGTGGGGAGTAGCGATGGCTGTGCCGTCCTCTACCCGACTGATGAAAGATATCTAGGACCGAATGCCAGAGAGAGAATCTCGCTGCCTCCTAGCAGGACACGAGGACGAAAAGATGATGGGATTCCAATTTCTACGTGTGGCACCGCTTTGATAGGGGGCCATAGCCGAGAGGTTGGACCACTGGTCTGGACTAAGGACGGTGCGTTGGTGACTGTAGGTGATGACTTTTTGGTCCGGGTATGGCGAGAGGGAAGTGCTGCGAGGAAGCTGAGAGTGGATGGGGAGGGTGAGGGTCGGAGATGGGGCTGTGGCTGGGCCGAGGTAGACTGCAAGTATGACGAAAATGATGCATGAACAGATCATTACACGGTCCTCCATTCCACGTTGTGATGCTGCGTCCAGAAACTTTTAGAGAGGCCAGAAACATCACGGCGGTGAATGAGATCAATCTAACATCGCCTAATGGCTGATACCCAGACCACGGTAACGCTTCGCTGTCTGCACAAGCTCTAATAGGGTGTGAGTGTTGACGGACGGCAGGCGAGTTCTTACCTGAGAGGTCGAGCGGAAACCGGTAGATCCCAATCTGGTCCCTGCGCCTTCCGGTCACGTGAAAATACTAAGTACACTACAGTCTCTTATGGATGGCAAAGGTAAAATTGTCAGAATGACTGGGGTCAGATCCCAGTACCTGATGATTAGATTGGTTTAGTCTTCATGCAGGCCCAAGTCTAGTTACTCGACTAGTTATGCAAGTCAGGAGCACTATCCAATGACATTCCGTGAAAGTCTGAATTATGGGTATGGTTTTCAACTCCATGGGAAAAGTACAATGGTCCTCATTTGAAATTCAAAATTAAAAAAATCAATTGATATTCTCTAAAAATGCACATCTATTTCAAAAATTATTGCTCTATACTACAAAAGTCTACATCGAAGCTCTCAGTGTGGCTCGCAACTAATATGAAAGCGTACTACATGTTTTGTGTGTCTTCTCCATTCTAATACTTTGTGTACCCTCCATTTGCCTTTATCACTGCTACACATCTTTCGTGCATGCTGCCAAATAGTGACAGTAGCTCCTCAGAAGGTATAGAGTCCCATGCGGCCTGTAGCAATGTTCTCAACGTGGCAGAGCGCACAAGCCTGACCCCATTCATCTCTGGACTATTTACCTGAATGTGATTTTTCAAGATGTTCCACAATGACTCGATCGGGTTCAGGTCCGGAGGGTATTGTGGCCATCTAATAGGCGTTTTTCCAACTTCATGCAGCGCCTCAATTGTTGAGTACGCTTTATGACTTGGTGCGTTGTCGTGCATGTACAGAATTTCTGGATTTTCCACGTGAAATTGATTCGAAAGAGGCAAATTTTTTCACAAAAGGATGAGACCCTCATTGATCCCCAATCCTTCTCCCAGACTAGGAATGGGCCTTTTTGTGATCCATAAAATGATCCCCAAAACATCCAGCTGTTCCTATGAGTATGGCGAGCCACAATACAAGTCTCATCAAACTCATCATCAGGCCAAACTCTGCTGTTAGTACAAGGAAGATTTTGATAGAATCTTAATGTATTTTCCTTGTGACACGAGGTTTCATATAACAATCACCCAATACCCAGGTTTCATCAGTCCATAATATGCGACTCCATTGTTCATCGCTCCAATCTAAATGTGTTTGGGCGAACCCCAATCTTTTCACCTTGTTCACCGCGCTTGACGGATGCTACTTCCGAGCAATGCATCTGCTGTAACCTATTTTACTGAGGGCATTTGAAATTAAACGTTTACTGCACCCCCAGTGGCTTAAGGGCCCCATTGCTAGTTCCAAGTAGCACATCTGTCGATTTTCAGGAGATTCCCGGACGAAAGCCTCAAGCTCATCACCTTGTTCCGCGCTTATTTTAGATAAGCATCTTTTACGAGGCTTAGGATTCTCAGTCACTCGAGCACACGCAAGTTGCACTTGCCTTCTTGTGAAGCTAAGTTCGTCGGATATATGTTGTAATGTCAAGCCAAGTCTTCTTGATGCTTTTATTTCAATACATTGATCGCGAGTTAGATGCTTGCGGGCTTTAGTTTCTGAAGCGGACTTTTGGAGAGACATTGTTTGCTAGAAGTGGGGATGAATTGAGTGTAGTGTTAAGTTTCGAGGACTCTGTAGGTCAGGCAGCCAAAAGTGTCGTTGAAAGTGTGTTTCTCTAAGCGATTGTTAGAAGAAGACGATTGGACCATACTTCATGGCGAGCGGGGTAAGGAGGAGAGACATACTAATCTGTTACGAGCTAGCCCAGCTGCGCCTACAGGGCTAATCCCTTCAACAACCCAGTTTGAAGTTTTACCTTTTCCGACCCAGAGGCACTGTAAGTACGCGCCGCTGCGCGCCATGCTTGAAGAAAAAAGCTAGCCTCCAACATAATTCCCCGGCGATCCCAGGTCAGCGTTGGCTCTCGCGCATAGAGAATCGAGCATCGAGGCCGTCAAAGTTTATTCTTCATTTTCCAGCGGTGCCGGTGCAATCACTCAGTATGCTCTGTATATCTGGGATTGCCATGAAGAATCGCATCCGAATCGAATTGATAAGCAAACACATGCATATCTTCATTTGACGACTTCTCAATCATGCAGCACTCACCGATATCTTCTGAGTTCTCAACCTCGATTTAACCACAAATCATCTCACTTCAACGACCGATAAATGAGTCACCCCAAGTGCGTATAGGAGCTTACCCCATTAATTTCCAGCCATCTCTCACCATATATTTATGACGCTATGTATACCCGCAAGGAAGAATTTAAGTCATAATAAACAGAGTTGAGGTCCTGGTTTATGGGGGACTATTGCTCTAATGGGGTTATACATCTTGATGAAGGATATGCGGCTGAGATGTGGAGCGAGAGAGAGACGAGGTCGCTGAAGGCCATACTGGGACCGATATTTTCGAGAGGTTTTCAAATTAGGAATGTCTGTGGACGCCAAGACCTAGATTTCGGCTATTTAGCCAGGGCTTCTTTTGTTGATAAGTCAACGGCACTCCCCAGCGCCCTGGATGGCACAAAAGAAGCTAGGCTAAGCTACTATACAGCAATCACGCTCTATCAAACCTTTTCTGACATTTCAGCACGACCTTCCGGAAGGAGTTGGAAGGAGACCAGAAAAGCAGAGGGTGAATTCTCCGAGGTATCCACAAGTCTGGAGCGTCCAGCTGGCCAGCCTCTTCGAAAGCTTCAGAAGGATCACTATTTCTTCGGATCTAGTCCTTATAACGGTATCAGAATAGCCCCGCACCCAGTGGTTTTTGTGATTTTTCCGGCAGCTATACACCACCCTAAATAGCCGTCGTCTCGTTGGCATGAAAGTAGAGATCATGAAGGGCAAAGGGCTCCTCTTAGTGTTTGATCGAATAAGAATTGTGAGGGGTGGTGCTATTTTAGGGGAGCTATATTGGAGGCATAGGAGGGGATATATATATTATTCATTTTTTCTGATTTGGCGCCTTGAGGCCCATGCAGGTTTTATCAGAACATATGTACTTAAGTAGGATGACTCAATTTGACATTTAGAACACTCACACTCAGATTTCATTTGCAGATACCACTCGAGGTTAACCCTTACGGCGTATAACCTCTTCCGTGCATACCCACCACAGGGAAAAGCGTGATAAACGAGTGGCTATCCAAGTGTATTTTCATCATTCCACAAGTACAATATCACCGCGAGAGAGAGTGGTGTGTGGGTCTGACTGGACTCGAACCAGCTTTCTCCTGTCTCGAATGAGGTAGGTGTTCAAGCTACCCAGTATCTTCTTGGGAGAACGACCCGGATGGTATACTACTGCACCATCCAACCCCATAGGAGGGGATGTACTACTGTATAGGTATTCTTGGCCTGCAGGTGTTGGAAATCTAGACTCAATATTTATGAAGGTTTAGATTTATCAGCAAGATTGATTCGATTACATGTGGTTAAGCTTAGCTAGGGGACATAAAATTCAATATTATCTGAAATGCACTGGCTGGGAAACGCTACCGTCCGATAATTGAGTGGTTGGTTGTAACTAGATCACTGGGAGTTTGGGATCACTAAAGACATGGGAATCTGTGACAGTATATGTTAACTAAGCTAACACAACGTACGTATTATTAATTCATATTGAGAAGAGAGTTCGATATCGCATACAACTTTCAATAAATTCTTGTCCGAAATCGTACACTTGTTCTTCAAGGTATTTCCTCCTAGAAATCCTGGACAATCTCTAACAGTGGGCAAGGGGGACATGAGGCAGAAAGAATTTCAAAATAAATCAACCACTTTGTCCACTCTTGTGCTGACTCACACGCTGTGACTATTCACGTGACATTAACGTAAAGGCATCCTCCACTTTTACATACATCAAGTGAATCGCACGCACATGAAATGTTAATCGGTGCCACAACCGCGCTAGATTCATTACCGGTGAGAAGATTTGCGTGATAGAATGAGGGAGTGACATTCAGAGAAAGAGACGCTGGTATTAAAGTAATTTTTCGGAGACCTACTCGGGCTCCAAAGATTCCATTAAAAGTTGTTCTCTCGGGAATTGAGCCCGAGGCGGGGCTCGAACCCGCGACCTTGAGGTAGCTAATGAACAGAGTCACTAAGAGCCACACGCTCTACCGATTGAGCTACCCGGGCGATGACAGTGAGGAGGTATACTCAAATATGATCCTAGTTATGTGCATGACTATCTAACACATTGGGCTCATCTTTAATATAGGCCACGCCTTGTACAGTGTTCCTCGCCTCCTGTATTTCTTCAAAGATCATTGATATATTGACCGTGATCAATAGCCATTCAGCTCAGTGTTGACTTGTGGAATTCGGCCACTTTTTTATGGAAGCTTCTACCCAGAAAAAAAAGTAGCAATGAAAACGGCGTGCGCGTGGAAAATTCTCAAAAAACCTGCAGCCTTAGCGAGGCGAGGCCTAGACACCGGGACTACGTGAGTTGCGCCTATTCATCTACATCTCCCTTCTTTGTGACCGTCGAGGCCAATTTCATACAATCCACCATCGCCGTATCGGGTGCTGGGTAGGCTCCTAAAACTCATGGGATGGCTTTTCCTGCATGACTACGAGTTGGTGATGAATTGAGCTTGGATCCTGCCATCTGAAACTATGGTGGTAAACCTCACGGCAATGATGATAGGGGGTGTGCTGAGAGATGAAGATAATACGAACGGCGATGGCGACTGGAAAGCGTCATGGTAGTGAGGAAGAAATTGCTACTCAAATTCGGTTACATAGACTCAAAAGTAGGAGATGCCGCTTATAAGTATTTAGTGTTTTCCCTTTACCATAGTGTTATTTCC